TTTGACAGTAGTCAATAGCAGATACCTGGGGAAGAGTATGGAGACAATAAGGATGGCTGTACTGCTTCAGGGCACAGTTCTTTCCAGCCTGGATTTCTATCTTTGACAGTAGTCAACAGCAGATACCTGGGGAAGAGTATGGAGACAGGAAAATGTGTAGTAATAAATCTCCCAAAATATTCCCACTGCTTCCACCAACTTGTGGTTCAGGGACTTCCTGAGAGAGCACTAGTAATTTTTGTGTTTGTCAAGTAAATTTGGGAAGGGAAAAGGAGGAGAGATTTGTAAAGTGATTCTGCTTTCTGCAAAAGACGACTGATTGCTGTTTTTGTAACCTCCCTCCATTAGTACAAATTCAGAGAAAACTTGAACTGAAGCAAACCTCAGCAAATTATTCTTGAGCTTTGGAGGAAGAGAGGCCTAGAGAACTGTGGGGGTGGTGGTTGGGGACAGGACCAATATGCAAAGGCAGTGTTTCTGGTGCCATTAGCAGTTTATGAATTTTCAATATGAGAATGTCTCAGATCCCTTAACTATCAATAGCTAAGGAGGATGCTGTGCATACAACACAAGGAGAGATCATGAGTGCATCCTCTAGGACTTACTGCTTGGTGGTGTATTTCTTCCCCCGTGGAAACAATCAAACAAAGCCACAGTTCTGGTCACTGAAATTGCCGGGTTATGGAATAGCACCTTCTTTCTGAGAAGGAGAGGAGAGAGTGGGGATGGGGCGGGGACAGATGGAAAAAATCCTTTCATAACTTAGTAGTAGAAAGTTTTAAAATTTATCCTACTTTTTGGAAGAAGAGATATTGCTTCATTTTACAACTAGTCCCTTGGCTTCAGAGGAGAGTTTTTGAGTTGAATACCTCTTATAAATAAGAAGGTCCAACTTCAGCCCTGACTTCAGACAAAATATAACAGCAGGATGGAGTGGAAAGCAGCCATGTAAAACATGTGATACAAAACTGAAGTTGTGCCATAATTTGACTGTAACTCAGTTCTGCTTGTTTAGTATGTGCATTTATATTCCCATGCTTAAATATTTAGTTTTGTTATGTGCTAAACTGTTTTCATCAGGTTCGGGGGCCTAAGGAGCAATTCAGAGAGATAAAGGAGGAGTGGATAGTGTGGTAGGATAGGGAGACAGGTAAAAGAGGCTTGTATAGACAGGGCAGTGAGAAGACTGCTTCTGCAGTTAGAGCATGGTAGAGTAAGCAGACAGATAAATCATGTGGCAATATTAGCAAACTGTCAAGAGAATCAGTGAGCAGTTTCTGGAGGATGCAGACTATCAGGCAAAAGTAAACTGGCAAGAAAACACAGAGTAATTTAGAGGAAGAGATTAGAGGCTACAGAGGTGACCCGCAGGACAACCTTTTTTGGGGAAAACACCCCATCTGTCTAGTCATTTCTGTCTGAAAAGCCTTAGCTTATTGAAGCTTTTTTCATGCAGAAACCATTCCATTCCACTGATCATTCTTCTCTCCCTTCTTTGATTTTTCCCTAATCCTAATAGTTTAGTTTCTTTTTCAAATACAGCCTAAAACTGTACAGAGTACTGAAGATTAGTGTGCCGGGTATTTGTAAAAAGATATCATGATGTTTTAACTTTTTATTTTCTGTACATTTCCTTTTAATTCCTGGCATGTTGCTTGTTGTGGGATTTTGGTGGTGGTTCATTGAGCACTAGGATATTTTCATTATTGCCCTAGTATTTAGAAGTAACTTGAAGATCTCTTTCTTCACTGGCTACAGTAGCTTTTCCAGTTATTGTGTTCACATAATTAGCCTGATTTTCTCTGTTCGGCTGCTGTGCAAGTTTTAGCCAAGGCAAGGTTTGTAGGGAGAGAACTAAAACGTGCTAACAAAGAAACCAGTGAAAAATAGTATTATCACTATCTCTCCCACAGTATTTGCTTGTTTTAATATAGTTTCTGAATAAATTGTAGTAGTATTCTTTTTTCCTAGCTCATTTACCATTAAAATATATTTTGTAAAGTAAAACTGTATTTAGAAAGAATTTTCAGATTATGATTAATGATTTTGAAAACTGCTCCCCCCAAACCCGGACAAACCATGAAGAGTGACTCATTTTTTCGCTGTATGTGTATGCAGACTTGTTTAAGGTAGGGTCCTTTCTGTAGCAGCCTATTGAGATTCTGCTCTGGCTTATTCAGGGGATTTGCTTTGCACAGTCAGTCTTACGTGGTGCACTGGTTTGCTGCGTAAAGAGGACATTTTCTGCCTTCCTTCTCGTGACTGTATGTCATAACATACAGTACTTCAGCTTTCCCTGACCAGAGAGGCTGTGGCATTTCCATCCTTGGAGGTTTAAAAGATTCAGCCTTTCAGACAAAGCGAAGGCTGCCGTGGTCTAGTATTAGGAGGTGGCCTGACTCTGAGCAGGATTTCTGTTAGATGACCTCCAGAGGTCCCTTCCAACCTGCATTTGTGAGATTCACTCCACTATGGCTTTAAATGGTGGTTAGGGAGGGTGGGGAAGTTAATATATTTGATGTTGTGTAAGAAAAATAGAAGTCGGTGCTACAGCCTTGAGGGTTTAAGGTAATCTCTTTTACTGTAGTGCCACAGACCTGTTTCAAGATACCTTGAAACAAATTGCAAGCTATCAGACATGCAGATCTGACAAAGCGTGGGGTATGAAATAAGAGATCAAAATCTGCCTTGGTCCAGCATAACGGGTTTTGCATATTATCCAACAATGTATTTTCATACTGACTTAGAGAAGTTGCTTGTAGCCTGAATTATGTGATTTTTCTGTTGTCTTGGGATTTTTCTTGGTTAGCCCTCTCTTTTTGGGATTGCTTTAGAAGGCAGTAACTGTTCCCAAATTTGTAGGTTATTGTAAATAGTATGGTGGGTTTGTATTGTGCAGTGGGCATCAAATTCTGCTGCTGAGAAAAAAGTTTAATATAAAGATGTCTAAATTGGTTTTTGTTTAATAATATTCTGTTAGATTAGTGTATACTTGTCATGTGTTAAATTTTGTTTATTTTAATATATTTTTAATGGCTATATTTTCTTTATAAGAATTAGAAGCCCTTAATTTTATTTCGAGTCTTCTAGTACACTGTTTATTTGGGTCTTGGTCCTTTGAAATGCTTCTAATGTTGTATTTGGTGTGTACAGGTCCATCCTTTGATGTCCAGAAGTGTTAATCTGCACAGTGTCCTATTTTAAGCAGGGTCTTGCTTTATTTTTTTTCTTTGAAGTTATGCTTTTTCAATCAGAACATAACACCTCTTAATATTATCATTAATATTTAACCTGTTTTAATACAAGGCAGAGTTGAGTTAACGTTTCTCTCGTCTGGGAAGCAGTGATTTTTTAATTTTCTTTTTCCACGTGAAAGTTCTGTAAGTTAGGTACTAGTTGTGCATTTCTTGTGTTTTTAGCAAAACCTTGAACACATGCTGACTTCTGTGACCATGTTACACGTGACCTGGGACTTGTTACCTTTTAGGGCCTAGTTTTGTTCTAAGCTCTGTTTCTAGTTCTGTGTCTAAGCTCACACTTTCTCTGTGTTCTTATTAACAACAGTGAAACGTGGGTGCTATTACTGAGAGAATCCAGTTAGTTTGGAACAGTTTTGTTTGCAGCACGCTGACCTGTGCAATGGATTTACCCCCACACTTTTAAACTTCTATTTATTTCTTGTAAACCTGAAAGAAGATACTAAATTTCTCCTTGTGTGCTCATTAGGGAAGACCATTATTAATTTCAGAACAACAGTCAATCTGAAGAAAAAAATGCTTGAAAAAAAATATTGAAGTGCTTGTGAAAGTTGCCGGTCCTGCCAGTGACATCAAAGGCAGGATAAAGCCTGCACAACTAGCTATAAATCTGTTTAATCCTATTAAGTGTTCTCCATCACCTAACATCCACAGAAGCTTGAATTTTGCTACAGATGTGTTGTTATTGGTCTTATTACATCAGATGGTTACCTAAGGAACTGAGCCGCTTTGCAGTAAATATTAATCCTTTCAGAGCATGCAAATAATAAATTTACCAGAAACTTAGCTGCTGGTATTGCTGACAAAGTAATCATAGTACTTGCAAGCCTGCTCCTGGGTACCTAGGTAGGGATCAAAAAATGGTAAACAGTTCTGAAAAGGGGTTAGTAAATATTTTAAATCTCTCTGGTGATGAAGAAAATGTCTTGAAGAGGCTATTAAACTCTTAAGCTGTGTTTGCATTACTCTTGCAAATAGACTTTTTGTTTGTTCTAAGTGGCTTTTTTACAGTAAATAGTGAATTCTAAACTTACAAAAACAATGTAAAGGGAGGCAAATATTCTGTTGTGTTTAATAATAATATGGAACTGAAATGTTACTTAATCACTGTTTTCTTATTGATACAATTGTTAAATATTTGTCAAAAGAAGCTTTATGACAACTGTTCAAATTTTTCTCTAATCTGAAGAAGTTCAGTTTTGCCCTTTCATTCTTGTAGGTTAAAGGCCCCATACTGAGCTCCATCATTCTTTTGGCTTAAATAGGATTGTCCTGGCTTCTCCTGTACTTAGTCAGTATTGCCTGGTATCGGCTCTGAATCCTCTGGATTCAAGACTACAAATCTTGAGCACAGCTGAATGAGCTGTCAGCTTGAATGCTGAAAATGGCCCGTTTTGTTAAGTATTGTCAGGAAAGAACACTAACCGGGCATTTGTTTCTCATTGCAGGATGTGCAGAGTCTGCCTGCCTATATGGGGAGGAAACAGATGGCAGATTTTTTTCATAGAGGAGCTCTGCGCTTAAATCCGTTCTTATGTGAGCTAGAAGTAGAGTCCCATGATAAAATACATTTGGTTTTTATCAATCAACCAACAATCATACATCAGTGTAAATAAAGTCAAGTCTGTATATAGTAATGATGGATGGCTTGTGGGTTAGATGGCAGATAATGTTATTCCACCGTCTTGCAGTCACTGTTTCAGATGTGAACTCATTTATTTTATTCTCTGTATTTGATTTCAGAAGAAATAATGCAGGTGACAGAGAGAAGGCACTACAAGTTATGCTTCAAGTCCTGCAGACGTGTGATCACCCTGCTCCAGATATGTTTTGTTTATGTGGGAGGATCTACAAGGATATGTTTCTTGATTCAGACTGTAAAGATACTAATAGTCGAGATCATGCCATTGAATGGTAACAGAAAAAACCCCAAAATATCTAATTAAAAATGTTTTCAGACTTTTACTTCTCGTTACGAAAAGCAGAGCTGTAAGAATTAGAAGATCAATTGTTCCATTTACCTCTTTTTTTCAGGGTTCTGTTTGAGTAATTGGTTTACTGAGCACCAGATCTTTGGATATGAGTTTCCTTGCTTCTCTTTATAGGCTACTGTGAATGTAGAATGATACACTTAGTTTATTGGGGACACACACACAATGATTCACCCATGTCTTTGTAGAAAAAATATACAATTGATCTGCTTCAAGGCCAAAAACAAAGTACAAGCGAGATCATGGGACTTAGGTTGGTCCTCTGTGCCAGGATAGTTTCTATGCTGGATCCCCAGGAAATGCAATGATCTACTGTGTATAAGGAAATATACTGATAAACTGCATTATGAATTTTCTTAAGACAGTAAGGCATGCATGTCTACAGAGGCTCTCACTGACATACTGTTCACATAGGTACATTTGTATAATCATATCAACTACTGCTGAGTATAAATATGTTAGCTATGTGGGTTTGTACTGTAACTGAAATATGCCCCCTCTCCCTCTCTCTCTCCCCAACCCCAAATTGCCTCATCATGGTTAGTGCAACATGGATTAGGTAGTAGTGCACTTAAAATCTTCAGATGGATCTCTTCATCCTGCACCAGCTAGTGGCATGCATTCAGCCTTTGTCAGCTGTCTCGGTTATCTTTAGTGAATGTGAAGCTTTAAAACAAAGGGTTTGGAGCCTTTTTAAAAACTTGCTCTGTAAGTCTACTATTTTCATTGCTTTTCTCATATGAGTAATGTAATAAAATTAGGTTCTATTGCATGTAAGAGTTTTGCAGTAACCAGTTCATTTCATTTTCACAAAACTACACAAGGTGGCCAGACATAAAACTAAGTGGTTTTTCTTTCTCACAATAAGACAAAAAGATACTTTCTTTCAAGTGCTCTTTGCAACGAGTTCCATTGGTACCAACTTGCCATATAGTCCTTACAGTAAATTAGTAGCTTAAATTACCTCCCAAAACTTGGCAGTATTTCAGTTCTTTTTTACGGTGAGATGTGAGCTCTTGACTCTTGTCTGCAGGTATCGCAAAGGATTTGAACTCCAGTCAACTCTGTATTCTGGAATTAACCTTGCAGTTTTGCTACTTGTCGCAGGACAACAGTTTGAAAGCTCAATGGAACTGAGAAAAATAGGTAAATATCCACACACTGTGCCACGGACAAGTTTTCTGCCTCTCTCCCTATGAAGAAAACAAAATACTTACAGTGATGGGTCACATAGACAGAAAGGCAGTTGAGGCTTTTTAGTGTCAGGTCCTGGATGGCAGGCTAAAACACGGGGATCTTGAAGGACCGTTTTTCTGCTTGTTGTCTTGGAGCAGCTTTCTAGTAATTGGCCCATCTAAAGGGTCCCATAGATGGGAGAGAAGTAAGGAAGGACCAACTTCAGCACCACCCGTAAACTACCTTTACTATACCACAGAGATTATCCCATTGCATAACAAACAGGACAATGACAGGAACTGACAGCATGGCCCAGCTCTCCTCAGGGATGCCAAGGAAGGATGCATAGGGTTTCTGTTGTCCCTGAACTGAGAGATCCACAGGAAGTATTGCCTGGAAGGATCTACCAGGACAGTAACTACTTGTCTACCTAGATTCACATATTCCATGTAGACACTGACTAAAACCCACTGCTACACATCCATAAAGAAATAATATGATAGAAACAGATATACTGTTCTTCCTAGAAAGATAGTAGTTGAGAATTATATTTGGAATCAGATCCTGTTTTAAACACATACTTGAACCTTAAAGGGGAAGAATGCAAAGGTGGCTTTAAATCTTTCCCCTGACCTTACTCTGGTTAGAGTAAGCTTACACTGAGAATCAGGAGGCAGATATCCCAGAGAGATAGCACACGAGGTTTTTCAACAGTGTGTGTGGTAGGAGTTCTGACTGTCTTACATCTGTTGGGGATGCTATTTGCAGACCCAGCCCCTGTGCTGGGCAATGGTTTTTTTCTGGGGAAAACTTGCTCCACTTTATTTTTATTGCTAATGCTTAATCAAGTCTTATTAGTCTTTTACCAATAGACTTATCAGTAAAAAAAAACACTTATTAGTGTTTTACTGATAGAAAAATATGTTTTTTTAATTGAAATTTTACAGGTGTACGGCTAAACAGTTTATTGGGAAGAAAAGGAAGCCTAGATAAAATGAACAATTACTGGGATGTGGGACAGTTCTTCAGTGTGAGCATGCTGGCTAATGATGTTGGTAAAGCAGTACAAGCAGCAGAGAAACTTTTTAAGCTGAAACCTCCAGTGTGGTATGTGGTAGGAGGCTGTAGCTCGAGTACCCAACTATGGGGAAATACAGAAATTAAAAATATCTTGTAGCCCCTTGGATAACTTAACTGGATTTTTCCATCTTAGATCATTTGTAAATCTGACTTTGTACTATACTTACACTCTTTTATTTTTGGGAAGGAAGGGGGAAGGTAAGGAATTGAGTTACCCATTACTGTTGCATTTATATCCCATTGAAGCACATTTTTTATAAGAAAGAGTTTGGAAATTAGTGATGATTACTCCTGAAACAATTGTGAAACGATTGTAAAACCATTCTTCTCAGGGTTTAGCTAGCTGCTGCTTCCCTCCCCCGCCATCTACTAGCCCATAATATCCTGTCTAATCACCATGTAACTACTCATGTAACTATACCCATTTGCAAAAAGATATTGTTCGTGAATGTCCGTGTGAGCTTATGACTTAAGGTGTAGACTAAATTTGCTATTCTTTCCAGAAATCTGTAAAAATCAACACAATAATTTCCATAATGGTAGCTTTTAAAGTACATTTCAATTTACATTTCATTTTTTTTCATAGATAACTCAGTTAAGTGGTTTTTAGAATCTAATCAAATTTTGTTTTCTCTCTGTTAACTCACTAATTCAATACATTCTAGGTACTTGAAATCATTAGTTCAGAATGTGATGTTAATTCAGCGTTTCAAGAAACTCACCATAGAACATTCTCCTAAACAAGAAAGATTGACTTTCTGGCTAGATATAATTTTTGAGGCAACGAGAGAAACAACTAATGGACTGAGATTTCCAGTAAGATGTTATGTACCAAAAAAGTTTTTTATGTCTTATGTTTCTGGATAGGATATAAAAAGAATTGGAAGACTCTAAACACACTACTTACATACATAAGTGCATGTTATTTCATTGCATGAACCAAACCCCTGTATTCTGCTAATCTTTACTTTGTAAAAACCATTTAACCCACCACTCTAAAAGCATTCTAAGAAACACTTTTAAGTCTCCTACAAAAAATCATGATGAGACTGTCTTGTATGTAGGAACACAGCCTCTTCCTGCCTTATCTTGCTCTTCTCTCTCCCCCTAGAAATTTTATGGGCTTTACTTTGAGATTACCCATTTTCTGTATCAGAGCATCTGAAGATAACTATCATGTATTAGCTGCTGATTTATTAAGGAAAAGTGTTCTCTCTCTTCAGGTTTTGGTGATTGAACCAACTAAAGTCTACCAGCCTGCATATGTTTCAATCAACAATGAAGCAGATGAGAGATCTCTCTCTTTGTGGCACGTCTCTCCCACTGAAATGGTAAAACTACTAGCAGATGTGTTTCATGTGTTCTGATTCATTGTGCTTAAAGTCACTTTTCTACATGTAGATTTTGGAGCACTGTACAATAATTTAAAGTTTGCTACATTTCTGTGAAACACAAGCCTCAATATCTCTTTTGTGCAGATATGAAAGCTAACTTTTTACAGAGAAGGTAAAAGGATGGACTACGATTAAAACTCAAGTTGTTTTGACCTGTAGTTCAGATTTCACTTATCTTGACCATGTCTCTTCGAAGTGCTTGGGTTATCTGGTTTACTCATATTTCTCATTAGACTTCTGTGATTTTTATTAAGATGCAGCTCAAAGCTAGATACAAGGTAGAAGTAAAGCCCAGTACTGTGTTTAATGTTCTAGAAACTTTAAAATTTTGCAATTATAAGGTTAGAAACTAGAAAAAAATGGCAGTCTGTGACAAATAAGTGTTGACATGAAATATTTGGTGTCCTGGATTATTATATTATGTCCTGGTGTCCTGGATAAGGCACAGGAGATTAGTAAAGGAGTAGGCACAGTAATGGACAGTGTAGTCTCTTAAAGGTGAGAAATCATTTCAGTTTCACATTGAAAGACTTGAAATGTGGAATGTATTTCACCACCTCTTCTTGATATCAGAACAACCTAAGTGGAGAATAGATTAAAAATGTAAGAGGCAAAGTGTAGAAGAAAAGCATGTTGGAGCAAGACCACATAATTACCCAGATCTGCGAACTTCTTTTCCGATACACTGTTCTACTTCACTGCTTCAAGTGAATGTGTCTGACACAGCTTTGCTTTATGGAACAAATTCTTGGTGCATATCTGTCAGTGCTAATTAAGATCCAGCTATTAGCTAGAGATTTATGGAGGGCTGTGGTCCTAGGCACAGGCTGTCCTTCCTCTGTCTTGCATCCACTGTGCTCCCTGGGCCAAAGCTGCTGGCTTAAAACCTCTTAGGAAGATGTATGGAATTTCCTTTCCCTTTGAGCATAGATAAGAGTAGGGCATAGTCTGCTCTGTGTTTAATATGAAATGTTGATGTATTTAGTCAAAATATGATGTTTGGTAAATGGTACTTCAAGGTTATTCTTCAAATTTAATTTTATATGAAGAAATGCTGCCTTCATTTCCACCCTGTGCCATTTATATTCATTTTTCCTCAGGTGAGTAAAACAGCAACATATGCCCTTTCTTTACCTGTACATCAATCTTATTTGAAATTGGGGGGGGATGGGGAGAGAAAGAAAGAAAGGAAAAGAGACATGTTGGAAGAACTTTCTTTTGCTTACCATGCTGTGACTTTGTTTTCAATAATAAGTCAAAGTTGGTTGATTATAGTTCTGTGTTCTTTACAGAAACAAATTCACGAATGGAATTTTACAGCTTCTTCTATTAGGGGAATAAGGTTGGTATGTCAGAAAACAGTTAAGTGGTTTTTTGGATATGTTTTATATTTCCCTTAAGTGGGAAATCTGGATTCTGCCTTAAATCTCTACTTTGCATTGCCTATTATAAAAGCTTGTTCTGTCCAACCTGCCTTGAAATGACAACACAAAAGAGTTTGCCTTTGCATTCATGGGCAGAGCTGTACATTTCTCGTAGGAATACTTGTCTAAGAGAGCTTTGTGAGCATGTGTATTCTCTGGTAGATTTCCTTGTTTTCAGTCATGTACCTTTTATAGATTTTTCTAAATTTTTCAGTGAAGTTATTGCCATCTCTGCCTTTAAAAACATGGAGGGCAGAAGGAAAGAAGAGCCCTTAGCTCTTCTTGCCTCCTTCCATAAGTGAAAGAAGGATTTGTCTGTTTTTCTTTAAGAAAAAGAAACAGCGGTATCTGTTTTCTGTTTGTAATTCAGAAATGCTTCTGATATGACTCTATCTAAAAACCTACTAGCTAAAACTTGGATTATTAGAGAAATGTTAAATGAGGCATGGATGTAGTTTGTGCTAAGGAAAGAATTCTTGATCTGGAAGAAGACTGCTAGTGGAGTTTCTCGAGGACTAGCCTCTAAATAGTTATTTTCATTTTGTGATGCCTATATTAAGGGAAACACTAGTCACAAGTAAAGGAGTCCAAACATTACTACAAAAGAAGATCAGAATATTGTATAGAAACAACAGGATTGTTCTGAGAACTGAAAGGGTAGAAAAGAATCACATTTGGTATTAACAACTGCAAAATACATTACTGCATTTAGAAGCTAGCTTATGTATCTTAAGTTGGGCTGCTTTGCTGCCAGAAAGGTGAGAGGCAGCGCATCAGGACAGAAAACAAAATGAAATGGATCTGTACAGCTTGTCAGTGTGTCTATGGCATTCTTGTTTCCTGTCTACATTAGGCAGGCTGTAGCTAAAAACCAGAGGAGCCGTAAGCATAGGGAACACGAGGTGGGCTTTTGCCTTCTCTCTGAGTTTGTGAGTCACTGTGTTGGTGGATCTGGCCTTTCTAGGGACGTAAATGGCTGTTGGCTGGGGCCACTTGTGTGAGTGCATAAGCTTACGTGCTTGAAAAACTTTCTGATTCAAGTACAAGCATAAATTCAGATACCTAATGAGTTCTGTAGTTCCCAAAGCAGAGGGCTTCTGGGCTGTGACTTTGACCATGAGCACCTAAGTCATAGGTCCCAAGTTTGTCTTCTCTGAACTTACATAATTTGCTTAAGCAAACAAGCTCAGTGAAAAAGTATTTCTCTGAATAAGGTGAGTGGTGATTGCTATGAATGCCTACAGTTGTGGATTTGGATTCTACCATAACTTCAGTATTTTCTTCTAAAAGAAGCAGGATTTGGTTTAAATTACTTCGATGTTTTATTTTATTCTACTACTCTAATGCAGTGTGAGTGGATGTGAACTTCTCATTACTGAAGTCTGTGGAGTTGACTGAGCATAACTCAGCATAACTTTTCTGAAATATTCATTACCTTCAGTCAACATATTGCACAAAAATTAACCTTTGAGAAATATAACTTTTAATTAAATGGAAGCAAGCAATTCATTTGCTTTGATTCTTAATCACTGCTAGAGATTACAAAGCTCAAAGGGGCAATCTTTTTAAACAGTGGTATTAGATATTTGCTTTGCGTGTGACAACTTAGTCACTATACTTTTGAAATTGCAGTAGTTTTAGAAAAAAAAATAGTGGTCTCAGTTAACTTATACTCTGTCAAAACCCCTAAATTGTATTTATGCTAACCACTTCATCTATTACACCACATACATTACACTGTTTATAATACAGTATTGTTACTTAGATACTGTCTTGTCCATCCTATATTTACCCTTAGAAGAATCATCTTGCTTTGTCACTTAGTTCTTATGTCAGGTATGTGTTAATCTGCCTTGCTAGGCTAGAAATTGCTATACTAGGAGGAAGCTACAGAATGGAGAGGTGTATTTTCACATATTTCTACAAAAATCTTCTGTCAGAATTCTGATTTTTTGGAACATTTGTTCATGTAGCTGTTAATGATGCCACAGCAAGTTGGTCTTGTAACATTCTGCAACTTTACTGTAGGCTACTGTCATGTATTTTAACTGGCTTAACAGAAGCTAAGCAAAATCTGAGAGTTTGACTAAACAGATTAGGCAAGTATCTAATAAATTTTATTAATTTAATGCACAAAAAATATGAGAATACCTTAACAAGCATAACAACATGGCATTTATTTCGAATAATACTGAAGTGCAGTTGTTTGGAATAAGAGATTAATTCCTATATTTACTTTCATATTGGTATTATGTTTTATGGCTTCACTTTTTGCTTCAGCACATTTAGATGGGATATATGACACTGGCAAGACACGCTATGCAATAAATAATCACTTTTTCAGAATTGTTGCTGCCGTTTGGAGTACATATTGGTTATCCCAAAACTTGTTTATCAGTATTAAGGCCACAAAAAGTATATACTGTGAGGGATCTGCTACACTATGTAGGTATTTCCCAGTTCAGTTTTACTGTAGGAGCAATGGAATTCTAAAAACCAGAAGTACTTGTCAAGCTTAAAAGAAGGGGTTTCCTGATAGCTAGATTAGTGTCAAAGCAATTCACTTTCCATTGAGGTGTCATACCAAGAAATCTGACAGAACTGTGTAGAAATGGAAGGAGAGGCGAACAACAAATGAACTTCAAGACACTTCAGATAAACTAGTATTTTACCAAAGTAAGCAGTAACTTAATCATTTATCAAATTAGAGATAGGATTATAGAACACATAAATAAACTCAAAGCTTCTAGTCGTAAGGAAAAATAAATATAATTGCATACTGCCTCTCTGAGGTAATTCACTATGAAAAAGATGTTTGTTAAGTGTTTGTAATTCGAAAAATTAACTCCTCCTTGCTCTAAATCTTGTAACAGTTACATCCAAAATAATATTTTCTTAATGTGAATTTTACAGCATTTCCAAGTTTGATGAACGATGTTGTTTTCTTTATGTCCATGACAACTCTGACGATTTTCAAATCTACTTTTCTACAGAAAACCAATGTAGCAGGTGAGTTCAGTTTGTGTGGGTACTGCATGTGAGATCTATGTCCTAAATAGAACTGATTTAGTAAAGATTGAAAGCTGACATTCTTGCTTGAGAAATTAATTATTTATTTCTTCACTAGTTTTTTCTTTATGAAGAAGCAATGAACCAAACTCAGTGATATTTAAGGTGATGAGAACAATGTCCCATTACACTTCTTGGCAGGTTCTGATCAGTTTACCTACAAGTCATTAGATCTGACAAAAGGCTTAGGTAGCTTATTCCAATTTATAACTATTATCTGCTTTTTCTGTGTCTTGGCCATGTCATGTGAGGTACTATATTGGTTTAGGTTCCATTATGTACCTGTTCAGTTTGATTTAAGTAAGAGCAACTAGATCTAATAGAAATGTCTGGCTTATATTGTGTCACAGATACCTGTTAGTGATGGTATGTTGTCTTTAAACAGTAAGCATGGTAACTGAATTTCAGGCTTAAATCTTCACAGACTGAATTCTTCCTGTGATTGATATTTGGCATATAAACCTTCTGAATGAAGTAGGAGTGATTTGTTAATACACTTAATATTTGAAGTTGGATGGTATATTTATTTTTCTTGCAAAATTGTTATTTATCTATTGTGTGGAATAAAGTCAGGTTAAAGCAAATTATTAGCTCTGCAGAATGCACTGCATAAAAGATAGGAAACACTAAAATTAATGATGCCTGCTCAGCCTTAATTTGGCATCTCAATTTGTGTGTTATCAAACACAGTCACATTTTTATGCCTTATTCAGTACACTACAGGAGTCTGTTCCAGAGATGTGTCTTTCTTAGTCAGTGAAATAGATGTGAATATTTTATAATAATTTTTAATAATTGTTAACCATTTGATATAGATTTTGGGAAAAGGTGAGTGGCTCAGGCAGGGAACTACAAGAAAAGATGGTCTTGTACTTAAGGATCTCCATCCCAGAGAACTAGATGAAATTAGTTAAAACTCTGTTCTTCAAACCATGTTACTACTTTTACATTCTTGGATTTCTGGATGCCTGACTAGAAACCACAAAATATGGTTTTCAGAAATACTGAGTAATCACACTTGCAACCAAAGCCCATAGCAACATTTGAATTAAACTGAAGGTAATACAATTCTTATTGCTACACAGAAGGAGAATCACCTGATATGATGTCGCAAATTTAACACTACTGAATTGAACCATTGAAAGTTAATACTTAATTTTTTATTGTCTCAGCCTTTTCTTTAATTACATTTGTAAAGACAAGGACATACTAAGCACTTTCCATCAAAGGGCACAGCAAAAATATTTGAGTTGGATCTACCAAGATTTTACTATGCAATTGCAATAACAAGCAAGGATTGGGTTCTACTACAGCAAGTAACATAATTTTATAAATAATTGGGCTTTTCAGTGTGTGTTTTATGTTCTTCCTCATTTAAAATAGGACAAACACGGGGAAAGTAAGCAATGAAAGGAACCTAGGATCATGCTAGTTAGTTTATTAGCTTGAAAGCAAAGCCCACCTTGTGAAGAATCTGTTTAACCTGCTTCCAAAAGAAAATTTTTCTTTGACCCTGTGCTATTTATTGCTTTTTTAGATTCTGTGGGTTGGTGAAAGAAATTTTGTCTGATGCAGTTGGCAGTACTTTGGAACTAGAAGGAGAGATAGATGGAGACACATTGGAGGTATGTCAAGGATAAAAGATCCAAGAACTCTGAAACTTTTTCTCAATCTTCCCTGCAGTTTCATATTAGTATACTAGAAAGATAATAAATATAATTTAAACTCCTTAATTGTATATGAAATTTCAACTTTTACAAAACTATTTGTATGTAAGACTTGCTTTCATTTGAAAAAACACATTTTTGATTAAGTGAGCCTGTTACTACTATAAACTGTATAAATCCCTAATGAAGGGTGTTACTGATCTTGTATTTATGTTGCAAACAACTTATTGATGAGAATCACCTGATATCAGCTGACTTAAATGGATGAAAAAGATAAGATATTACCTAAATTCCAGGAAAAAGCCATTTAGCAAAGGTACTTTGGTTTTTCTATCCAGTGCCTGATACTATTACTACTCCAGGTAATTTCATTTGACAGGCTTTTTCTGTCACAGAGATTTGCAGATATTTAGGATCAGATTAAACCATTGTACTTTTTATTCATCACTGAAACAGATACATTAGGAACCTAGTAGATGCAGGTTTTCCTTATAATCAGTAGAGAGGAAAAAAAAAAAGTTATTCACATTTTACATGGGCTCAGGTTAGGGTAGGTGAATCCATGTCTTCGTAAGACCCACTGCCTCATAGCAAATGTCTGAATTTGTAGCACTAAGTATATATCCTGTGCTTCTGTTTATTTGTTTTGAAAAAAAAAAAAAAGCCATCATAAAAAGCACGTTGTAATTTTTATTTGTGGTCAAGCAAATTCAGTCAATCCAGTTAATGTGTGTAAAAACCCTGCTGTGGTTTGTTTGAGCTGGCTATCTTTCTGACCATGTCTCATTCCAGTAATTCTCTTAGGCTTACAATCCAGAGCAGCTCTTTATGATAGTGAAGCTTTTGTAGTACCTGAGGCTTCAGAAGAGGATTAAGAAAGTAGAAGACCCTCTACTGTACTGTTGGATGTAATTGTATATGGTGGGGAAGACAAGTTTTTGCACTGAAGTTTGTGCATAGTGGCCACAGAATTCTCTCCTCAAGTGAAAAGGACAAGATATGCATGTCTATTAAGCCCAGCTTAATACATACATCTGTGGCCTCAGCATAGGGCCAGGGCTCTGCCTTGGCAAAGACAGGGTATTATCTATAGCCGCAGATTTTACATTACATACGTATGTACTGAGCTAACAGCAGGAAAATCTCCAAACAGCACAGTCTATTGAACTGTGTAATAGTCTCCGAGGAAGTGACCTCACTGTGGCTTGAGCCTTTTAAAAACTGACCTGGAAAAATAATTTGAGAATGCACAGCAGAAAACAAGCCTGCATGAATCAACGACTTATGGGGAAATTACAACAGAAATTAATTTTAAATCTTTGAGCTATATCATTCTACATATCTTGAAGTTTTCTGAATTATCACCTTGTACTTACTGTCTTAGGTCAAGACATTAAAACAGAAATCAAGATACAGAAGAGGAGGCTTAATTAATTTGGCTTATAAATGAGCTAAGACAGTTAGTGTCTTTCTGCAGCCTGAGATCTTGCATTTAAGAACATGGAAAATGCAGCTTTGTATGGTCTTGATGGTCTTGACAAGCAGATAAAGCAGAAGTTCTTACTGTTAATAAAACAACTGTTTCTCATTGGGGAAGAGGAAGAAATAACCCTGAGCACATTTTGGGGGGAAGAAAATCTGATTTCAGTCAGTATTCTTATGAGAACATTGTCCCAAGGAGTTGTATATTTTGGATTGCTGTGTTATTTGAGAGCAACTACGGTTTAGTTCTACAGCTAATGAGGATTTGGAAGGAGACTGAGTGTGGCAGTCCTTTCTATCTTAGGGTGTTCACCTCTGGATACTGGTATTGAATAAGTTCCTGTCACCTTAAGAGTACCCGCTGTACCCCAAATAGGATATCCTAGAGATCAGACTCTACCCTACCATGTTCATACAGAAGGTCAGCTATGAATGCATGTTCACTCATACCTAATGATTGAATTGCACATCCAGTGGATCACATATCCAGACTTTTGGCAACCAGTAGTGACTTTTTCAATCTTTGTAGCTGTTGGAAAGACAGGAGGCAAATGTAAAGTGGCATCAAGTATGTAAGTCTATTAAACTGTCTACTAACTAGCACTGAACTATAAATCTCAACAATTTTCATATATCATGGGACCCAGACTAGAGAACATAGGTTTCTCCACAGTAATTATAGAGTTGGCTTAGAACCAGTCTGTTGCAGATAGTGTTGCTGTCAATCTTAAATTCTGCAATGTGACTGCTGTCTTTTTTCTGCAGAGTTCTATGTCATATGATAGCTGTGAAAGCTGGATATACTCCTACCAAAGAACCTGACAAGTTTTACATATGGTGTTTTGTGTCAGTTATGCCTGTCATATAACAAGATTATGTTATGAACCGTGAAGTGCTGAAACATGGAAAATTAAACTGTACTAAAGCTGTGCTAACTCAAGTTTAGTTCCGCTGAGCAGAATGTGCTGCTAGGATAAATGACAGATGGTTTTTCTTTAGCACCTTCCACACAGCAGCATAGAAGTTACCATCTTTGCTGAGGAGAAGAGGGGGGAAATGTCAGTGACACATTGACATTGCAATACCAGAGCTGCAATATGTACTGGCAAGACACTTCAAAGAAAAAGATCTCAAGGATGCATTTTGTACAAGAGAGTCTTATTGGATGAAGCAGAAAAAGTGGTCATTGACAGAAATGTCAATAGTTATGGCCATTGTAAAAAGGGTCAGGTTTGGTTTTTTTTCAATAGAGAATTGAAAAATTAATCATATGATGCCACAGAGAATACCCTGCAGTTTTCCCATAGGGGGTATCCTGTTGGATTTGGGAAGATCCTGGGGAAGGTCTGTGTACTCATGGTAATATATGAGGCTATGAAACTGTTCAGTTCCTTTCTTAACTCTTTGCAAAAGTGTTTTTTCATTATCCTTTATCAATTTGAATCAGGGGTGTGCTTCTTAACCCAACTTCTGTAAGAAATTTGGTTTTATTTAGTGTCTGGGATGTGCTTTCATCAAGTGTCATTCATCAATAGGCTTTTACACTGTCCTTTGTAGTAGGAGAGCTCTGTGATAAGATCACCATATGGGACAAGACCATGAGGTGGTGTGAATTAGTGTAGCTTTACTGAAGTCAGTGAACCAGCAGTGCCTTAGTCAGCTGGCAATATGACCCAGTACATTTCAACAGCAGTGGGAACCACCACTTCATATATTTGATCATCTGTGGAGAAGATGAGCATTTTGGAAAAGCTCATAATAAGTGGAACATGTCAGAAATGAATTTTGCTGTGGCTAAGCTCAAATGAGAGTTCAGGGTCTTAAAACAGTGTCCACCCACTGTAATGAGAATGTCACTTAGTTATCTATTTATTAAATCATTGGTTTCAAAATTATAGGTTATGTTCCATATATTTACATATTCTGAAGGCTCAGAATTCTTAGAGGTGATACCTAAACGTGATCTTTTGACAGCACTCTATCATCGAGTTTGGTCTAATGCTGTGTTCCTTGTTTGGGGGAATGCTTTTCAAAGTTGGTTAGGGAAGGTGGTTTTGTGAAGCAAGTAACATGGAAATTATACAAGTTGTATAATTCACCAGACTGGTGGGTGACCTGCTGTACTACAGCTGTACTGTACTAACTACTCTGTGCTGTACTAACTCAGTATATTACCTAACTGTTCTTAAAGGTCTCTGTAATATCAAATGTTAATGATAATAATTTATGTGCTTCTTTGTTTATCTTGCAGTACAAATATGATTACGATGAGAATGGTGACAGGGTAGTTCTAGGGAAAGGTACTTATGGAATAGTTTATGCTGGAAGAGACCTTAGCAATCAGGTCCGAATAGCCATCAAAGAAATACCTGAGAGAGACAGCAGGTAAGACCTAGTTTTTTGTTATGTACATGTTGCTAATGAACCTGCAGTTGCTTGCTGAAAACTTTGCTCTTCTTAGTGTGTATTTCTGTGTGGTTAGTTTATAAAATCCCAGTATACTAAAATTCAATTATCATTTCCTCCTAGTATTCAACAGTACCCTTCTCAGAATAAGGACTTTTTATTTTTTGGAAAATATATTATGTATATCATAAATAATACAGTTTGATCATCCACATGTCTACCATAAATTCTAGAATAAAACATATTTGGGGGTTTCAATTGCAGTTGTATCTCATTTGGTGTTTTTTGGGGGCAGGGAAAAGCATAAAAGGAGTTTTGGGGGCAAAGACAACGCTACATAACAATACAGAAGAAAGGCATGTATAGATTCTTTGAGGGCATGTTTCTTCTTCAGGGTTCCTCTGAGATCTGCTGCTGTACTTTTTTCTGAATAGGCCGCCACTCACACTGCATTTTGAAAGTCATGGACAATATGTATGCTGAGAATTGGATCAGTATCCCTAAAATCCATTATGTATGCAAACTAGCATTTAAGCATAGCCTAGAACCTTTTCCTGCATGATGAGATACTCCTTTATTATTTTTTTTAATAGGTATTCTCAACCTCTTCATGAAGAGATAGCACTGCATAAATATTTAAAACATCGGAACATTGTCCAGTATCTTGGATCTGTTTCAGAAGACGGATACATTAAAATTTTTATGGAGCAGGTGCCAGGAGGTTTGTATCATTCTGAGCAAAGGAATCAGAAGCAGTTGGGACTCTAAACTTAGTGAAAGCCAATAGATGTGCACCTAGTATGTTTGTGCTCTGTATATGGCTTTTCTGTTGAGACATTAACTACAGGTGGCATTCTTCTCATATAAAGAAGAGATTTGAAGTGTACAGGTCCCAATACCCTCTCCCCTTTCTAAAATAATTATAAACCTAGAGAAAAGTCCTTAAAAGTATCTGGTGTCAAATACTCATGTGTTATAAAATAGTGGAGTTAGAGCTGTATAGTCCATTTAGCCTGACCATCTGAATGATGATTGGAGCTTTTAGGATAAGTTTCTGTTGAGCGTTAATAGTGATTGAGCAATTAAATATTATTTTGTATCTGCTATATACAGAGCACTATTATTTCCTAGGTAGATTAGAGATAAAAGCTAAATGCTTCCCTTGCTAATAATTTCCAGTTTTGTTCCTCTAGCATTTTCTACATTTTAAGATGTGAAGTCCCTCTATATTCTCTCTAGGTTATGTTTCCATCTTCTTTTTGCTGTTTGCTCTTCAGTGTCAAGGATGTGTCAGAATGAGTGTTAAATTCTTGTGTGAATAGAATTTGCAAAATAAAAACAGAAATAAGAAAACCAGGAAAAAAGGTTCAGGTTTTCTAGGGAAGGTCAAGACAAACATCCAAGTGTAATTAAATACATCTGAAGCATTCAATATAGGGAAGTTTAATTTTTTGTAATCCTGTGACCTTCTCACCTGAAAGCTGAGACACTTTGACATGTGTGATGCATGCAGATGTGATAAGTTTATACTAGTACTGCCACTTGTTCTCCTGCACTTGTTGAAAGTATCAGCTGGTGTTGTTTACATACCTCTTTTTTCCTGTTCATAATGCACAGTAGAGTGTGCTGTGATTAGTTGCTAATGTCAAGATATTATTGAATCAATTCATAGAATCATAGAATGGTTAGGGCTGGAAAGGACCTCAAAGATCGTGGAGTCCCAACCCCCCTGCCACAGGCAGGGACACCTCCCACTAGCCCAGGTTGCTCAAAGCCTCATCCAGCCTGGCCTTGAACACCTCCAGGGATGGGGCATCCACAACTTCCCTGGGCAACCTGTTCCAGTGTCTCACCATCCTCACAGGAAAAACTTCCTCCTGATATCTAACCCAAATCGACCCTCTTTCAGCTTAAAGCCATTACCCTTCATCCTATCGCTCCACTCCCTGATAAAGAGTCCCTCCCCATCTCTCCTGTAGGCCCCCTTCAGGTACTGGAAGGCTGCTATAAGGTCTCCCCAGAGCCTCCTCTTTTCCAGGCTGAACAACCCCAACTGTCTCAGACTGTCCTCATATGGGAGGTGCTCCAGCCCTCTGATACTTTTTGTGGCCCTCTTCTGGACTCACTCCAACAGGTCCATGTCCTTCTTATGTTGGGGCCTCAGAGCTGGACGCAGTACTCCAGGTGGGGACTCACGAGAGCAGAGTAGAGGGGAGGAATCACCTCCCTGGACCTGCTGGTCCTGCTGCTTTTGATGCAGTCTAGGATGTGGTTGGCTTTCTGGGCTGGAAGCGTGCATTGCTAGGTCACGTTAAGCTTCTCATCCGCCAATACCCCCAAGTCCTTTTCCTCAGGTCTGCTCTCAATCCGTTCTCCACCCAGCCTGTATTTGTGTTTGGAATTGCCTTGACCCACGTGTAGGACCTTGCACTTGGCCTTGTTGAATCTCATGAGGTTTGCATTGGCCCACCTCTCAAGCCTGTCCAGGTCCCTCTGGATGGCATCCCTTCCCTCCAGCGTGTCCACCACATCACACAGCTTGGTGTCATCGGCAAACTTGCTGAGGGTGCACTCAATCCCACTGTCCATGACTCCCACTAAGATGTTAAACAACACCGGTCCCAATACTGACACCACTTGTCACTGGTCTCCATTTGCACATCAAGCCGTTGACTGTAGCTCTTCAGATCTTCAGACATTTTCTTCATATATTTTAAACTCTGCAGGCAGCCTTAAAAAGGAACCAGCTGTTCAGATTACGCAAGATTCTTTGAGGAAATTTCACTTTTGAAAGCAGTTGAAAAATCCGTTTAGCTGAATTTGTCTGGCACTAAATAGACCCACTGCACTTGGTTTATTATGAGCAGAAAAAGCAAAACTGTCTATTCTGCTTCATGATTAAAGTACTTCTGTTATTTAAAAAAAGATTAAAAGTAGGGGAAGTGTGGATGACCCATCTCCTACTGTGAACATCCATTACTTGGTTTCTTTCAGGAGCTTTCTTTCCTCTGTCTCTGAACATTTCCAGAAGTTAATCCCATATTTGCAAGGAAAAGGCTATTTCCTTTTTTAATTCTCCCCACCTCGAGTAAATCAGCTTCTCTTTGCCCATGTGTGTGGTCATGAAGTATAGTGTATAATAGCATGCAGTGTTACCTTTAGTCTTTATTTCATTAAGGGCTAATTGGTTGATAGTCCTAGTTTCAACAGTTGTTAGACTGAAGTGAGGGAGATGCATCCAGCCCTATTGTAACATTTATTTTTGTCATGGAGGTGGAAGCTGAGCTGGCAAGCAAGAAATAACTAGTCAAGAGCAGCAGCAGATTATTTGCTTTGAGGGATCTAGGAAGAATTTGTCTTAATTATACGTACTGCATTTCTGTTGTATTAAGATATCAAGCAAAGGCTTAATCCAGACTTAAATGTTTCGTGTTATTTTGAGGATTTTACTGTCTTGGTATATTTTCTTCTCAACTCTTGTAGGCAGCCTCTCCGCTCTCCTAAGATCTAAATGGGGCCCAATGAAAGAACCTACAATTAAATTTTACACCAGGCAGATTCTGGAAGGCCTTAAGTATCTCCATGAGAACCAGATTGTACACAGAGATATAAAGGTAAATTTTCCTTTAGGATGTCTTGTGTGATATGCTTTTTATCTCATTTACTTCAGTTAGTCTTACTCTAACCTGAACTAGGATTTTTAATAGGATTTCATGGAAGCTTAAAACAAAAGGAAAGAATAAAACAACCCCTTCTCCCTGATGCTCCTGGAAAATTCCTTTGTAGAAAGGTATATTACAAAGCTAACAACAAATTTGAAGGAGAATCTAGACACTGGGATTTTGAATCTGTACTCGTCTGTCTCCCCTCTACCTCTCTTTCTCTCTCATCCAAACCACAGGGGGATAATGTTTTGGTGAACACCTATAGTGGCGTGGTAAAGATATCTGATTTTGGTACTTCCAAACGGCTGGCAGGAATCAATCCATGCACTGAAACATTTACAGGTAAGACTAACGTAGCAGCATTTATAAGGGTTTTGATGATAGATTTAGAGTTAGAGCCACGAGCCTCTTTGGATTTGTGATGAAAACACAATGAGGTCTCTCTTTTCAGGGAAGTGAAAATGGGAGCATGATCACCGTAAACACAGGCTTGCTATCTTTCCTTTTTTTTTAGTGTAATTATCTTCCATTTTACTTTTTTTAACTTCATAAGTGTGATGGGGTAATAGTTTTTCTTTTAAGTGTTTTTCATTAAGTAGCAATTGATTTGTTGCAATTACATCTGGAAACACTTGAATACAGCAACTTTTTCATTTAATAATCTTGATATTAGTAACTCATGCATGCACTCTTTCTTGAGGTATGTCTAAAAGTGCAGAAAACCAAACGCAAACATAAATACTTTCCGTTTTGAACCAATAATTATAAAACCTAACCAACTGGATAACTTGGTGTTAACAGCAGTAGAAACAACAGTTTACACGAAAATACTAGGCTGGTATGTTACAGAAAAGCTTTCATATACAACAAGGTAGTAAAAGCAAGATGATATATGGAAAAATTGTATCTGAGGAAAAGTCATCATACTTTAATAAAAAGAGGTAAATCTTTTCTTGTTCCCTTCTTCTTTGTTCTCTTGCATGTTTACAGTCTGTGCCTCAGAGATGTAATTTACCATGAGAATAAATATTTTAATTAAGTTCTCATTTTGGATTTAAAGTCAGTAAGCAGGTAGCTAGAGCCCAGAGGGTCTTAAAAGGTCTCTTCCAATTTGTTTTGTTCCTTAAGTCAGTGCATAAACTCTGTGTATTTTAGTCATTATGCAATAAAATCACATGATTTGAAGAATCAGACTTGTGGTGGTTTAAACGTTATATCCCTCCATTCAAGACATGCAGCCCGAGGGCAAAGCTGTGGCTTGAACTTTTGTACTACAACAGTCACGTTTAATGAACATAGTAGTATCCAATCCCTTTTATCTTCACCAGATGTCCTTTACTTAATAGTTCACAGCTTTAGCACAGTGTAATTTTATTGCATCCTTACAAAGAAAAATTATTTAGTTTAAGGATGTCATAACAAAGCTGGTAGGAATTCATGTGGAGAAAGTACTGGTAGTGTTCGAAACATTTCCAAAAATCTGTTGGTCTCTGTAAAGACCTCTTGTTAGTGGTGTTAGTAGATGCTTGGATATCAGTGATTCCAAATTGACCATCGTTTATTTCATTTTTATTGTTCTGTTTATCAGCATTATAACTGGTATTACAGTCCGATTGTCTGCAGGCAAACTTTAGAGACATTCAGATTTGTCTGTTAAGAGCCAGCCATAGTAAGAGCCAGCCATAGGCTTAGGCAGGATTTTGCCAACATGTATAGCTATTGAACTTTCAATAGAGATCACTCCCCTCCTCACTAACCTTGGATGTCAGAAGTTACAAGCACATCCAAAAGACTTCCTGGAATTGCAATTTATGATGGGTTCCCTTGTTTTTTCAGTTACCGTGTAATTGATTTACCTTGCTTGCAACCCTGATTGTTTTTATGTAAAACTTGAGAATTTTTTTAATGTTCTTTTCTTTATAATCTTATATTTACAACAGTAGATTCTTTTCAAACTGACTTCTTGAAATTCCCTGTCACTAGTGTTCTCATAGGGGTAAACATATGAAAAATTATTCTCATGAAGACTATCTGTCACTTTGCAGGTTTTCATCACCTCTTACATGCATAATCTTTACAATTCAGTGTTTGCAAAAATTGTTTGATAAAATTTTACATTCTGAAGAAGCATTTAGATTATGTGGTGAATATACTTTCAGCTTTTTGAAGCCTTATATTAGAAAGGGGGGGAAAAAAGCTTACAGAAAAGATGTTAAAACATAAGTTTCTGTCTAGTTTTCAGTGTTGATAAGGGAAATAAAATATTTTGGCTATGCAGGTTGCATTTGGCAATTATTAGCTTGCTTAGTGGTGTGTTAATTCTCTTTAATAAGAACGAAGACTGTAACACTTCACTATTTTTTTTGCCCTGGCTAGGAACCTTGCAGTACATGGCTCCAGAAATCATTGATAAAGGACCACGAGGATACGGTGCACCAGCTGATATCTGGTCACTAGGTTGTACCATTATTGAAATGGCAACAGGCAAGCCTCCATTTCATGAACTAGGGGAGCCTCAAGCAGCAATGTTTAAAGTAAGGTTTTTTTGCTATACAGTTTATGAATTTTCAAATACTAACTTATTTTTTTTAATATTAATTTAATTGGTAGTACCCTTTGGTTACATGGGTTGTTTTGCACAAAGCCACAGTCTGACCTGTGTTCTTAACACTGAATGATCCTTCTCTGCTGTAAGTTGTACTGCTCTAGGGGGTCATCATTTATTTTTGTGCTGGAAATAGGTCATGACTCAGAGCAGCAACCTGAAAAATGAGTGAAGACTTATGAAAACTAATATTCTCTACTCTCTTACTCCTGTCACCTCCTGTTCTTGGTTTATGATTTCCTTCTTGGCAGCCAATCTCTCCAATAATAGCAAACTTATTTCTGCTCCTTTAAGTCATTTTTTATAAGCTTCACTCCCAGAGTAACTGTTTGCCTTGTCTTTCAAAGGCCTAGTCTTTGCAACGTGGTAGGAAGCCATGGTGGAAGGGGGCGGGGGGCTAACTTTACAGGATTTCTGGTATGTACTGAAGGAGTAAAATACTCTGTAATTTACATGCTAAGTCCTTTGGACCAAAGCTACCTTCTTGGTAAACTGTTGCCTCTAGTACTTTGCTTCTCTGTTTTCAAATGCACAAATTAACACTTGAGAAGAGAATGCTTCAGATAGTTTTGATAATAAATGTATTAAAAAAAAAGTTACTTGTTCTAACTCTAAAACCAACAGCAGTGTAAAAGCTATAATGTGATAATGTGTCAAATATGGAGACTGAAAATTTTTGGGTCTTCCACTGGCTTGCAGTAGACCTTTAGTAAACTACTTAGGTTTTCACTTATGCTTCTTAGTCCTCATTCTTATAATGGGCAAAATATCACATCCATAATCCAGCAAAGTGCTTTAAATTATCAATATTGTTGATTCTTTTGCGTATGTTGTTGAAAGTCAACAACTTTCAGTGTGAAAGTGTGTGAGGACTAGTATCGTTATTAATGGAACCACGGTAGCAAAATCAGATCTTTATCAATAAGTATATATATTAAGCTGAGCTGTAGTTCAGTGTGGCATGTAATGCCGTGCGTCGTACTAGGCGTGTGAGTTGTCCCATGTACAGCAGCTAAAAGTTAAAGAAAGGGATGGAGAATTATGGGTTTTGGTGTCGTTATTTCAACGGTATAATATATCACCTCAGTGCTGTGAACTTGTGACACTACCTCAAAAGAAGCTGTCTCGGTGAACATGCTTCGGTTCACTAAATCTTTCCTGAGGGAGCCACAGAAAAACGACTTTTTTCCACATCGCTGTAAATGTCAGATATGGTTCTGTTGGCAGACGCCTTTTCATCTTATGTATCTGGCACATAGTTGAACTCTTCAGTGAGTTCCATGTCTTGTTTTTCAGCACAGTTTATTGAACTGTCAGGAAGTGCTGGTTCAGACCTGGGTGCTTGACAAGCTCTGCGCAGGCTCACAAGGTGAGCTCTTGCAAGACTGTGAGTGTCCCTATGTCCTGCCCATAAACACTTCCAGGCCATAGAGCTGTGTTCTGGTCTCAAAATCAGCATTTTTTAAAAATACATTTCTTGCCCTTCTTTCTTCAAGGATGCGGCAAGAGTTTTTAGCATTGTTATTGCAGACTGTGTTAATGTGCTACAGTCGGGCATTTGGTTTTGTTTTCTGTTTCTTGGCTCTGCTGTGACCTGCTTGGAACTGCCTCTTGCTAGGCACCATAAATTGCAAACTGTGGTTTCTTTTTGCTGTGTAATAGAAGTAAGCAAGCTGTAAGCTAGGCTTGAAGCCAGAAATGAAGCAGACCAACTGGGCAGGCATGTAAAAAGAGCAGAAGCCTGGAAAACTTGGGATATTGAACTTTTGAGGTCCCCACCTCCACATGTGCACACTCTGGTGTGCATAGTGCAGGCAAGCAGAGGGAAGGTCTAAGTCTGGCTGTGCAGTCACAATAGAAATTGCAAATGACCAAAGAGTTGAACAAAGTAGAGAAAAGAGGTTAGTGTGAACCCAGAACGGGAAATAATTCCTGGCTGAGTGTACATTGTGTGATATTTCATCTATGAGCATAGTATGTGTGCGCCTGGTTCTGTGTGAAAGGAGTGCAAACAAATGACATTCAGTGGAGACAAAGTAAACTGATGTTGCCATGGAGTTTCCGGATGCTTGACCGCAGAATTTACTCCCCTTGAGCCACAGAGATTAAGATAAGATCAGAGACATACATTCAAATTTCCTGGTCCTGGTTTGGATCATCCTGAGTTTTGTTGAGTGCATAAGGATATAACCTGGCACCAGAGTGCCATCAGCCTGTGACACTGCCCCAGCTGAAGCTGGGTGTGTGAGCCTGCCCCCGGAGTGCATAGGGAGGAGTGGGCTGACCATGGAAACAGGTATATCAATAGAAGTTGTCAGAGCACTGCAAACCAGAAACTGTCTTCTGTCTGTGCTCCAAAGCAAGAATCTTCTTGTGCTGATGTTTTGAAGTGGTGAAACTATATATACCCCATTTATAAAGCACTGTCCAAAATGCACATGGGGTTTTGCAAATCAGATAAAGATACTCCATCAGACAAGGTAAATGTATAGATGCAACAGGGCATAACATAATTTTATTTATTTATTTATTTATTTA